TTATTTCTGCCACAGTACAGATGTACCTACCTCTGTTTCTGCCACAGTACAGATGTACCTACCTCTGTTTCTGCCACAGTACAGACGTACCTACCTCTGTTTCTGCCACAGTACAGATGTACCTACCTCTGTTTCTGCCACAGTACAGACAGACCTACCTCTATTTCTGCCACAGTACAGACGTACCTACCTCTGTTTCTGCCACATTTGCTCAAAGGCGTCGGCCAACTCCACATTCGACACTTCCTCCGCGTCTTGAAACTTGAGGAATCCGTCGCCGCCGTGCCCTAGATGAAAGGACAGTAGACGGTGACAGTAGACGGTGACAGTAGATTGTGAAATTATACACCAGTTTTGACAATAGCCGCGGAGGTCGACAAGAATTAGTCCCTAACCTTCTAGGGGGGCTCTCGTGGCCAAGAGGTTAAGGTGTTCGCCTCCCATTCAAAGGTCCCGGGTTCGAATCCGGATAGCGATGGAAAAATTTTCTTCTCTAAAATTGTCTCCTTTCACCTCCTTTTCTGCTCTCTAGCAATGTTCTGTCGTCTGCTTTCGTTTCCACTTTCTGCCCCCACCCCCTCACCTCCTTTGCCCCCTCCTCTGGGCTCCTGTTTCTGCAGTCTTTCTACTGCTACTCCTTGGCTCCTTCTTCTTGCTGTCTTTCAGCCACACCCCAGATCTTCTGGTAGGAAAGATCTACACCTAGCCTTCTCGGACAATGGTGAAAAATCTCGGAGGTCTAGCGTGCAAGTTGCGAATGTTAAAAATCCCTTGGTGGTCTAAAATCGATAAGAGTAGGTTTCGGCCGCCACCTGTGCAAAATTCAAAATTTCCTACCAACTGAAAATGTTTGGTGTGCCCCGCGCGCTCATATGACCTTCTGCAGTTGCGAGCGCCGTAAAACCCTTACCAAAATTTTTTAAAAAATAACCTTCTAGAATTATCCCACAATAACGGACATCTTTTCTCATGTCCTGTACTTATTTAATGACAACATGGCACAGGCAGCTAGTCACTCAAAGTGCTAGAGTACCACGATCCTATACAGCTGTGTTCTATTGAAATATAGAGTACCACGATCCTATACAGCTGTGTTCTATTGAAATATAGAGTACCACGATCCTATACAGCTGTGTTCTATTGAAATATAGAGT